TGCCATGGTGCCCCATGGCCCCGCCAAATCGCCCAGGGCGATGGGTACCGGCGGCTTTGGCTGCTTGGCCTGGCTGGATGTGAGCAGGGGGAGGGAGGGAAGGAGGGAGGGATGATGTGGTGCATGGACAGACAGCAAGGTGAGGGGTGGTGGCTGCTCTGAGGCCTGGATGAGTGGGTGGGGGGGGGGTGGGGGGGGGGGGGGGGGGATGGGGAAACAGAACCTAGCTTTTAAAATTAATGGGTTAATAACTGCAGCAAGAGCTAACACAGATATATTTAATACAGGACAAGATGTCAAGTTAGGCTGAAGTTCTCTTAAGCACTGCTCAAACTGGCTTTAGGATGTGGATTTCAGAAAACGGATTTCCTTCCCTCCATTAAGGCTAGATCTACAGAGCCACAAATAATTTCAATTGCATTATATTCAAAAAACCTAAGTGGTTAATAGAATAGCACCTCTTCCCTTCAATAAACCCTTCAGAAAATGAGTTTCGCATCAGAAACTGCCATACCACAACAAAAATTAAACAACGCCCAGTTTTTGAAACCCTTTCGGAAGAGAGGCAGAAACCCAAGATGCTTCTTTTAAGTCTTCCTAGAAGTGTATGAGGGTCAGGGGGTTGCTTTCACACAGAGGAAGAGACACTTAAGTTTCTTTAACAGTCTACTACAGTGTAGATGTCTTCTTTCCTTTCAAGATTAGATGATTTCAATGCAATATCACATCTTAAGCAGCCAGGTGCAGTGGTTCTCAAAAGCATGGAACCTTTCCTCTTGGAAAATGTACCGGCTGGGATGAGAAACATCTGGCTGTAAAAGCAAGCAGTATTTGCAAACTGGGAAGTTTGAAGGACCTTCCCCATCTCCCTCTCACCAGAAAAACAAATCAGCCAAACAGAAACACATTATAATTTAAGCAATTAGCCTTCTTCATGACTATCAGATATGCTAATCTGATGTAAAATAAGGGCATTTCCCCAAAGCTCATGTTAGGTTCTGCCACTGATTCTACGACAGCCAAGATCAGTATGAGACCAAATGCTCAGATGCTGATGTGATGGAACAAAGAAATTTTAACAATCTTTTCTAATTTAGAGAAAACCAGAATTAGAAGGAAATGACACAATTTTGCAATGTTTGAGTTTCCAGTACATTTCCAGACAACAACCATATTTAAGCCCAGATTTAACTAAGTAAATAATCTTGTAAGTTCAAAAGGAAAATTTTGTTTGGGATCATTTCCTGCTTGCTCTTCAGATGAGGCACTGATTTTTCTCAGTCCATCAGTGGTGAAGAACACCTACCCACCCCATCTGTAGAACTCACTCAGTGCCAGCTCAAGCAATTAAAACCCCAAGTCCTATCCCTATTCAATGCAGATGGGGTACTGTAAGAACAGGCACACAGATTTGAAAGACTAAAACATAGTCTAATTCCAGCTATAAATTTGTATCTTCATGTATCTCTTTTGCTACTTTGCATACACTTTCATCAAGAACAGTTTTGCATGAGCAAGAGGGATGATCTTTATTTTTCCAGAGGTGACCGGCAGCCTCATTAATGGGGCTGGTTAATGAGCAGTGTTCTCATGCCCCTTTGCATCCTACAGGAGACTTGGGATGGGAGAAAACTGAAGAATACAGCACAATTTTGTCCGCTAAGCCCAGCCACTTCTATCTCAGATGCGCATTTACAATGAACAGTTCTTGCAAAAAAGAGGTTGAAGTCAACTACTTGGCTTCAGCAACGCCAGAACTTAAAAAAAAAAAGAACAGGAGGGTCACAGGGCCTTTGGGAACAGGGAGAGGAGATGGGGGGGGATGGGGAAGGAGCTGGAGGAACTGGGGGTCTGGTGGGATGGGGGAATTAAGGGATTGGGGGACAGGGGCATGGCAGCCCCCCAGGAGGTTTGGGAGGGGGAAGTGCTGTCCCCCACCTCGCTGGTGCCTTCTCCCCTCACAGCTGAGCCACGGCTGAGGGCTGGGGAGGGATGTGGCTGGCTGCCCTGGGTGCTGAGCCCCCAGTTCTGGCAGTGGGTGCCGGAATCTGCCATGGTGATGGTGCCAACTGCTGCGCGAGCGCCTCAGCCTGAGCCCAGGGGGCTGCGTTTCCAGGGTAGATGTAATTTCTGGCTATAACTTCTGCGAAACGCTTTGAAATAGAAAATGCACTGGAAACGTTAGTTATTGCTTCTCAAGGGGGAGGAAAAGTCTGAGAGCAGGAATTATGGAAGCGAGAGGAGGAAATTCAGATGCTATTTGACTCAGGCTTTTCAAAATCCCCTGGAAACTCATGCTCTCTAGAGACGGCCGAGGCAGACGAGTGCTGCGGTGTCCTGGCCCTTGCTGCTGCCTGACTCTCATCTGCGATTCCTCTTCCAGGGAGATCTGGGTCCTTTCAATCCTGGCTTGCCAGTGGAAGTGCCTGTCTGGTTGGCCATTAATCTGAAGCAGAGGCAGAAGTGTCGGCTGATTCCTCCAGAATGGATGGACGTTGGTAAGGATGGTGGCTTCGGCCCTGGGCTTTGGTGGGTGCAGGAGAAACACTAAATAAAAAAAAAAAACAAAAAACAACTCTGTTTTTCACCATTAGTGGGAAGCTTAATTCAACAAACACAAAGTAACTCTGAAAGAAGGATCTGTGTTCCACCAGTGGAATTCTTTATATTTACAGGAGATGTAATCTCCCCAGTTAAGTCAGGTATTTAACTTCTCTTCCTCTGGTGAGGAGGAAGGACAAGGGTTAGATTGAATCCCCAGCCCTGACACTCGTCTTCAGCAGCGGCTGCTGGTCTTTCTGAGCAGCACTTGCCTCTCTCGCAAGGCTTGTTCAGAAAGAGCTTTGGGGACCTCGGGTGACACTTTGTGAGGAGGGAGACCTTGGAGGGTGTATATGTGTGTTAATCACCGGTTTGTTCACTCCATGAAATCATTTTCCTTGAGGGCATCGGAAATGGAGGTTGTCGCACTCTTTAAAAAGTGAGAATCCTGGCACCCTCCCTTGTCTGAAGGGAAACCAAGAAAGATAAGAAATAAGCACTCACAGAGCTGCAGTAAGAGGGAAACCTGCACCGAGCACTCCTGCTTTATTCATTCTAGGGCACAAACGCTAATTAGCGTGAGTGCTTCCTGGGTGAAGGGACCATCTCCCCACAGGCGAAGGGGTTGGGGATCGAGGCGGTGTACATCCAGCCTCCCTGCTTGGTGTGCTTGTGCGGCTTCGATGTCCCTGTCAGCGCCCTGGTGTGCTTTGTTGCAGAAACCTTTTTCTCTCCGCATGTTGATTCAAGCGTGGACATAGAGTTGGTCCTACAGAAACAGCCTGTGGGGTTTTCCGAGGGGGTAAAAATGTGCCTGGAACGTTGAAGGTCTGGCAACGCCTGACCATTCCTGGTTGTATTTTAGAAAAACTGGAGGAAATCCGGGAACAGGAACGTAAAGAGGACACCTTCACTCCGATGCCCAGTCCCTATTATATGGAACTCACAAAGCTGCTGTTAAACTAGTAAGTAGGAAACGTATTGTAACAGTTTCCGCCCGAGTACATGCTTGCATAGACAATTTTTCAAGCTTTCATTGGCAGCAACCCCAGAGGGCGGTGGGAAAGTGAGAGTTAATGGAGGTTTATTTCACAGCGTGCCAAGATCTCGTTGCAGCAGTTTTCTCATGGTAACTTTGCATTTCAGTAACTTGGGGATTGCTTGTTCTGCAGCCTGATAATTGGGGCTGTGCCGCTTTATTGAGCGGCAGCTAAGCGTAGAGGCCTTGAGGATCAGCAACACGTTCCATGGCTGCAATCTGTTCAGCAGCCTAAACCCTCCAGGCTTCTTCCTTGGCTCTCCTTCAGGAGGAAAGCTTCTCTTTCCTCGGCCTGAGAAGCGGGAGACCAGGGATATTCCGAGTCTGAACTCCTGCCTGCTGAGGCATTTCACTTGTAAAATGTGCTGGCTGGTATTTTTCTCAGCGCAGACTCTTCTGACTTTAAGCCCTCGATTACGGCGGGGTGGTCATTTAAGCGCTGGCTTTTCCTCTGGAGATGACGCTCTTGGCGTGCGGCTCCTTCCCTCACGCTAGAATAACCCTGACAGCTCTGTCCGTGTGAATTGATCTGATCTCTCGAGGTCCTTATGGCAGCACTGAATTGCCGTAATGGGAGGATGTGGCACAACTCGTACAGTCCTTTCAACTTAATACTCTCCGATAGAGCCACGAGAGCAGAGAGCTGGGGCTGTAATCGCAGCCGAGTCCTTTCAATTCTCTGGCTGCCTGTGACTTTGGCCGGGTTATTGGCCCTCCGTGTACCTCGTACCAGCTGGGCAATTAAAGAGCAGAAGGATTCTAGTGAGAACCAGATGCTGCATCAGAGCTGAGCATTCCTGGGTAAATAAACTATCCCAAAAATCCCAGCAGCAGAAGTACCAGGCTGGATTTTAATGTCGAGTTGCAGGTTTTTTTTTTCCTCTATAGCAAACTGCTCTGCTTATGCCTCAGAGGGCTGAAGAACTGCCAGCATTACTTACGCCGGTGACATAACGTACGAGTCCCTCGCAGCCTGTTCTGATCCGCTCTCTCCTCCTCTAGTGCCTCAGACAACATCCCCAAAGCCGATGAGATTCGAACGCTGGTGAAGGATACCTGGGACACCCGGATAGCCAAGCTGCGGCTCTCTGCGGACAGCTTTGTCAGGCAGCAGGAGGTTCACGCCAAGGTGCGGCGGGGACGCGCGGGGAGAGGTTTGCCAGCTCTCTGCTGGGAGGATTCCAGATGCCGTGCGATTGTGTGGGCTTGTGACTGATGAGAGCTGCTCGTGAAAATGCTGGTTGGGGCATGTTTTTCCTGGGCTGTGGGTAACGTCAGTTGGGAGCTAAAGCCATATGCTGAAATCTCGCTTTATGGGCTGGTTGCGGCTCCCCGTGCCTTATGGAAATAGTGCTCCTGTCGCTCGTGTGCTTCTCTTGACCGGGGGTGGCAGCTGGGCCCGGTCCCTTGGGGTGTCACCGAAGGGAAAGCGTGGGCTGCAGAGCTGCTTTCCGAGTTCCTTGTCCTCTGCTGCAGCAGAGCTGTTTCCCCACATTCTGCTATTTTCTCTTTTAGCTGGATAACTTAACCTTGATGGAGATCAACACGACCGGGACTTTCCTTACTCAAGCCTTAGATCACATGTACAAACTCCGGACTAACCTTCAGCCTGGCGAGAGTGCCC